CACCTCCCTCCCCCGGAACCCCTCCCCTGAAGCAGGGGCTCGCGTCTCCCTCCCCGCCAAGAATCGGTGTCCCTCCAGGGAAGTCTACCCAGCCCTCCTCCGCCCCTTACGGGCTCCTACCTACCAGTATCCCTCTCGCCGAAGTAATAATGGGGGCGACCTGAGTTGGACTGTTTGCTACTTTCTTTCAGAGACTAGCCGTCCTTGGTCACGCCGACCCTGCGTAGAGATAGAGAAGTGCATTAATACTCTTGTCCCCCCAAGTTCGAATCGTCGTGGAAATGTCGCACAGGAAAAGGTTTGGCAGTGGAAGTGAGCTGGGGGTGAATCCCATTCGTCAAACCTCACCCCAGGCATGTAAAGCCGGGGATTCGTCCCTTTCCTTAAAAGCCATCAAAACGCTTTGGAGGGGTGGGGAGAGGAAGAAAGTGGGAGGTAGATTACCTAAGCCCCAAGGTCCACGCGACTCCAAGCGACGCTACATGTAGGAATAAGATACGAACTAGGCTGCCTCCGCGGGAGGAAAAGTATACCCCCCCAAGCCGTCGTCCACCCCTAAACACACATCCCTAAGAGAGTCAGACGGCTAAAGAAGGGGGGAAGGTTGTGGGAGTACTGGAGAGTGAAAGGGTTGTGACGGGGAGGGTCCCCGGCCCCCAGTGAGCAGAACCCAGATGCTAAAAGGTGGGTGGGGGTGCGGCATAACTGCAAACGGTGTCTTTCCTCGCTTTTCCCGGAATCGCCGCTCAACACCGTCTAACACTCGTAGTTGCTTACCAGTCAGTCCCCTAGCCCCATTTGTGCGCGTGAAGCGGCTGGAGCCCGGGAAGCCCGGGCACAAACTCCGCGGAAGCTGGCCTTCGCCACCGCCGTGCTGCCGCGGGCCTCCCTCCTTTCGCTGGCGGCCCCGCCGATCTACCTTCGCCCCCGGCCGAGGCCAGACCCCGCTCGCAACTCCACGCCCCTGCTCCACCCCCGGCTCCCCCTCCCCTCGCCCTCTCCCCGCGGGTCCGGCCCAGCCCCTAGCGCCGCCCCGCCCTATGGCTCGGTCCCGAGCCGAGCAAGTGCCCCGAACTCGCCCCCCGCCCCCACGCCCAGGCCAGTCCGGCAGGGCCTGGTTTCCCCCTCCCGCGGCGCCCCGCCCCCGAATCCACGTCCTACTCCGCCACCCTACTCGGCCCGGTCCGGGTTCGGCCCGCGCCCAGGCCACCGGAGCCCACGGTTCGGTCCGGTGTACGGTCACCCACCCCGCCCTTGCCTGGGTGCCGGCCTGGCCCGCTGCCTGCGCCCGCTGAGCCGGCCCTGGCGCGCGGTCCGGGTCCCGGTGCCGGCCTCGGTCCCGCCGGCGTTGCCGCGTCTCGCCACGAGGGCTCGGTCCACGCAAGATCCGAACCCGTGCGGGGTGGGGGCCGCGGAGAGCAAGTTTCTTTATCTTCCCTCCGCCCCCGACGCAGGGCCGCGCCGATCCCCCCCCCCAATGGCGCCCCCTTCACCTGGGCAGAGCCCCCCGGCCGCTGTCGCAACTTTGCTCTTCTCCAAGCCGCCGGGGAAGCGGGCGAAGCGAGAGGCGGAGGGAGGTGGCGGGGGGTGCTGGGATCAGGCCGCTGGGCTCCGGGAGGACACGTGGGGGAGGAGGGGAAGGAGGAGGAGGAAGGGGGGGGCGGGCCTGCAGTTCTCGGGGCTCCCCCTGCCAGCCTGGGGGAAGCCGGAACCTCACCCGGCAGCCGCAGACCCCGCACTGGCCACGGGGGAAGAACCGAGCCACCTTCTCCAGCCAGCCCCCCGCTCCAGGAAGGGGGGGGGCGAGCAACGCCGCTTGGGGTCGGAGAGCGAGCGTTTTCGCTCGTGCTTTATGTGTGACTCTCTAGGCGTTTAGCCTCCGTATATAGGGTGGGGGGACGTAGGGTCTTGCGTGCGGGGGGGCACCCCCGCCGGACGCCCCGCCCCTCCCCCGGTCCCCCACTTCCCTACCCTGAGCGACCTCGTTGCAGGGCTCTGGCGCTCGGGCACCGAGGCCGCCCGCGGGCGCAGCCCCAGCCCCGGCGCCGAAGTGGGACAGGTGCTGGGGAAGGGAAAATGCCGGGGCTTGCTGCCTCGCCTCGCGTTTCCCGCGAGGCCCACCCTTCGCGGCAACCTCCCTAGCTGCAAACCCCTTGGGCGGCCCTCAAAGGGCAGCTCCCTGCCTGGGCGTGGAGCAATGGGGGGGGGGTAAAAGCCTGAGGGAGGAAGGGAAGAGGAGGAGGGGGACGAAAGGTCTGTAAAGTGGGGGAAGCCTGAACTGCTGGGGCTGTAAACCTGCCTCAAAGAGGACTTGGCTTCTGCCCTCGCTGGCAGGGCTCCTCAGTCACCAAACCGAGCCCCTTGACCCTTACCCTTTACCCTAACGACTCCCCTCTTGGCCAAAGGAATAAATCCTCGTCAGTGTTTACACCCCAGGCCACCCCCGAATTGAAGGGCTGACAAGCCTGCGGTCCACACTGAAACTCTGATGACTTTACTGTTAACTCTGAGGAGGGGAGCAGCTTGCGATGGAGCTGAAGCTGCCAGCGGACTTGCTTTCTAGTCTCAGGGTGTTTCCTAGCAGCTCCAACCCTGAGCCTGTGGTAAGGACTTCAAAGGCATTGCTTCAAGACTAGAGGGTATTAGGGAGGTGCCCTGCAGTTCCTGGAGGGTTCCGGCTTTGTAAAATGGAATGTGAGGTTCGGGGCTTTATAAGTGGAATGTGAGGTTCGGGGGTTTTATAAATGGAATGTGAAATGAATAGTAGGAATTTGGGGAAAAATCTTTCTGTGCAAGTATATTGATATTATTTATGATGCATTTATCTATAGTAAGGAAGCTGGGGTCATTGAGACTAGAAGGGAGCCCTGCCGGCTAATGTCTTCCTCCTCCTTCTTCTCGCCCCCCACCCCTTGTCCTAGGCCCAGAGATCCCATCTCTAATCTGTGAGCTGTCTTGTCTCCTCTGAAAGGACTTTAGAGATGGCAGTTGAGACTCCCTGGAATGTCTCCCTCACCTGGTTTGCGGATGTGTGGAATATTGCCAGGGAGAGGAGGGCAAGCCACAGAGGCTGCAGTGGCTTTGCTGTTGACTGAGGCCTGGAGTTTTCTGTGCCCTCTTGTCCTGGGGAACCTCAAAATCTCTTGCTAGCAATGTGGCCCTAAACCTGCCATTTTACTTTGATTTGGAAGCTACTTCCCTAGCTGTTTAACTTGATCACTCCCACCACCACCACCCCCCCACCACCACCAACATACCCCACATATACACACACCTTAAAAAGTGTTTGGCCTAAATTGCACTAGGAGAAAGTAAAGATTTGGGAGTGATTTGTTTAAGCTGATCAACATATGAACACAAAATGCATTCTGTTAAGAAGGGAGGAAATCACCTCTAGAATGGACCTAATTCTGTAGGCCTACAAACTCTGCTTTGATTTCAGTTGACTACCTTCACTGATCTTAATTAATCTGATAAATACTAAATCTCCAATACATTTAGGGCTTAGGGCTAATTTGGCCCTTGGTTTGAGGCTGAAGTAGATTCTAGACACCTTATCCCCGTGGTCTGAGTCTCACCATTTGGCTGAATCATTTATTTGGTGAAATGAAGGTTGGGGCAAAATGGTTATTTCCTGGTTGAAGTTCTAGCTTCTCTGAGCCCTTTCCTGTTGGGGGCCATACTTCCTGCCCCATAGGAGATGATGGGAAACCAAGGTGGGATGGAGGCCTATGGGAAACCTTGTAAAGAATGGAGATTTAATGATTATTTTATTTAAGGCTAGAACTTGACATAATCATCATAAAAATCTCTTGCCTTTGTACAACCCTAGAGTATCCACAAAGCCCTTTCTCTCATGTTATTTCATTTGTTTCTCACTACAACTCTGGATTTTGTAATTGAGGAAACTGAGTCTATGAGCATCTGACATCTGATTGGCTCAAGGTTACATGGCTTGTGACTCACAAAGCCAGGGCTTAACTCTAGCAGTACTAACCCCACATCTGGAGTTCTTTTCAATGCAGGGCACCTCAATTTAATGCCAAAATATGCCTTTTTGGGCAGATTTTTTTCCCCTAACCATTTCTCCCATCCATAGCTACAGGCCTGGGCCTGGGCAGCTTGATGTAATGGAAGGAGGATCATTTGGGCAGTTCTAGGAACCAGGTCCTAGTCCTGTTATGTTGCT